GGCCATCCCTATATAGGATCCGAACCCGTGGCCTTGGCACTACGAGCACCGCACTCTCCTGAGTGAGCCACGGGGCTGGCCCTGGAGCTGGTTTCTTTATCCATAAATGACAAGGCTAAATTGAGTAAGATCTGAGGTTCCTTCCAGTGCCAGCATGTCTTTGACAACTTTACCGTTGTACCTGAGACCATGTCTACATGAAGACCCATCCTCTTGTGTTGATGGAGATAGGCAGACCCTGTAGGCAACATGTGAAGAGAACTTCAAAAAGTCCAGGCTCTACCATGTCTTATTTGTGACTTTGGGCAGGTCACACATTCTCATAGTCTCTGATCTCCATTCTCCTCAACTTTATTTAGTATTCATAAACCCAGGGTTTTTAAAAACGAATAATGAATGAAAATGTATGACATTAAACTCTACAAATGTGATAACTGTTGTTAAGATGGCACCTGGGTGCTAGCCACTGAGTAACTGTAAGAGTCCTGGGAGTCAAAGCAGCTTCTTTTGTGCATGCTGTCTGCCTTACATAGACTGTGGTCTGTACTCCCAATCCTAGTTTTCTGCCTGGTATTATTCTGTTCCCTGCTCCTCCCTCCCACATTCCCACTATTTGGATATTCCCAAGCAGCAATAACCATATAAATTAGCCTGTTACTTCAAGGTTTGGGCAGAAAATAAATCTTCCTAAATTTGACAGTTTACCCCATACCATCTCACCACACAATACACATGCACACACATGTACTTCTTTATCCTCTCACATGGATTTTGCTAATGACTCATAAAAGAGTTAGATTCTTGTTCAAGTACTGACTTTTTCTGGCTGACCTCCTATTCTCCCCACCTCCCCAATCAAGCCAGAAGGCATAGATGTGGCAGGGAGTATGAGAGGAAACCAAGAAATGGGGATACAGAGGTTAAGAAGACACATTCCGTGCCTTCAGTCATGTTGTAAGGGCTGCAAGAGAAGTGAGTGCAGACTACTCCAGAAGGTTCCTGATGTGTCAGGGAAGGTGGGAAAAGGATAAGGGGAGATGGCACTTGAGTGACCAAGACAAAAAAAGTGTGTGTGGGGGGGTGTATTTCCACCTTCCAGATGAGGAGATAATGTCAGAAATTTCAGGAATTGCTCCAGGGTCATCTGTAATTACTTTTTTTTTTTTTAAATAAAAGGCTTTGCTGGTAGGGGGAATAAAACAAAAACTAGTATTCAGAACAATGAAAAGTTAGACTTTTTAGGAAAACTATCTTTACCGCTATGCTAAAAATTGTCAAAGACATTTTTAACGTCACTTCTTTTTTTTTTTTTTTTCCCTTTTTTTGTCTTTTTTACTGACCGGTAACGGGATCGCAACCCACGGTGTCGCGCCCGCACCGGGGACCGGCAATGGGATCGCAACCCTCGGTGTTGCGCCCGCACCGCGCTCAACCAGTGAGCGGGAACCAGTCTCCACATGGGATCCGAACCCTTGGCGGGAGCGCCGCTGCGCTCCCAGGCGGCGCACTTTCCAGTGCGCCACCAGGCTGGCCCATTAACGTCACTTCTTGTTAGAAAATTCATGTACAGTGCTAGGTTAATGCCGGTATAATTACACTTGTATACTTGGTTAGTACCCTGCTAGGTTTTTTCCCCCCTGCTATTGAGAAGCTTCCTTTTTCTTCCTTCCTTTCTTCAATATGAACCAGATATAAATGAGAAATGTAGCAGATTGTCATTTGTTAAAAATTATCTACATTTCATATACTTCAAAGATGGTAAATTGGCTCAATAGTAAAAATCTTTTTCTGCAGAGTGTTAATTGTACCAAAGCAAATGATTTGCCAAGACACTAAAATCCATTCTTTTGTTTGACCTGCGTAGTTATAGATCACCTTTATTACAGATCACCTAAAATTTGGTTCCTTTCCTTCAATGAATATCAGTTTATTTATTGCTTATCTCAATTCCCAATGCCTTAGAAGAATACAGATCCATTAAAATGTTACATACACATACTTGAACTTTGTCACTTTTTTCCAAACATTTTGATTACACTTTTATCTTAATAGCATTTTATTTCTGTCATAGAAAAAATATTGTTGACATGCCTTTAACTGGGCAAGTCATATAATTTATGTGACCTAAATTTCCTCATAAGTAACAGGAGATATGAGATCTAAATTCCCTTCTTCCTGTAAGATTCCATGATTTGTTATTTTGTTTCAAGTTAATGTTCTACCAGGGTAGGTTAAAGTTAAATAGAGGGTTGTTGATGGATCAGGGTTAAAGAAATTGTTTTGGAAGAAATATTTTGGGGTGTGGGGGGGGTGTGGCTGGATGGTATAGGGATCCCAGCCCATGACCTTGGTGTTATAAGGCTGTGCTCTCACCAACTGAGCTAACTGGCCAGCCTGGAAGAAATCTTAATGTATACATATTGTCACACACTAAGTTACCACGTCTAGTAGCTTCTAATGTGCTTTTATTTCCTAGATAAAAGGCATCAACAGTAATCCATCTTCAGGCTTATGTGAATTTTGCGAGATTTGACTGTAGAATAATAAGAGTACCAGCATGTCACAGGTGTACAGTTGGCAGACAATAAGTGATTGTTGAAGTTAACTTAAGTGTGATTGAATTGATTCTCTTGATGAGTTATAAACTGTTTCTAAATACAATAATAGAAGAAAAAAGAGTTTCACAACTAAGCCCAGGAGGAGAAATGAATACACAAAGACAATATGCAAATGTTTATAGCAGCTTTATTTTTAATAGCTAAAAACTGGAAGCAAACAAATATTCATTAACTGGTGAATGGATCAACAAAATGTGGTACATTCATATAATGGAACACTATGCAGCAATAAAACAGAACAAATGAAGGAAACCAGACACAAAAGGCTACATGCTGTATGGTTCCATTCATAGGAAATACTAGAAAAGGCAAAATTATAGGGATAGAAAACATCCATTGTTACCAAAGTCTGGGGAAAGAGGAAGACATTGACTGTAGAGAGACACAGAGTAACTTTTTGGGGTATTGGGAATGTTCTATATTATTTCAGTGGTGATCACGTCAATGTGTATGTTTGTCAAAACTAATCAAATTGTACACTTAAAATTGGTGAATTTTATTATGTGTAAAACAAGCAGACAAAGAAAGCTAGGGCCAGCATCTTGAATGCCTTTCAAAGTGACTACTTCACTTGGGGAAATAATCACTTCTAAACTGCAAATTTTGAAAGCCTATTGTTAACAAGATATTGATAATATATATTTTTATGGTGAATCTATATGAAATATTGATGCCTAAAAGGTGTTTGCCTAGAAAACAGTGAATGATCTACTTGCTTTAATATCTCATTGCATTTTTATTTTCTTTACTTCTCTGTACAACCTAGAAAAACTAATTGAGGGACTCAAATCTCCTGACACTTCTCTTCTGCTCCCTGACCTCTTGCCTATGACAGATCCTTTTGGTAGCACTTCCGATGCTGTAATTGGTAAAGTCATCATCTCTGTTTCTTCAGTCATGCGTGGTATGTGTGTCTGTTTCCAGAATAAGTACCTAGTTAACAGATCCCTAGTGAATAGCCCTGGTAAGGAGTGGATATGCCACGAAGCCTCCTGGTTTGGAGCTATGCCTTGTTCTAACCTAGAAGCCAAGGCTATTTAATCTCACTTATCACTCCAAATGAAGTGTTTTTCTCTTCTTCCCAGGGGTACAACACTATTATTTTTCCTTTCTTGATATCCTGCGATTTCTAGAGTGAATTTCTTATGAATGAGGAGGAATGTGGAAAAATTCACCTTTATTTACAAAAGCTTCATGAAAAAAGTTGGTTTCTAATGGGACCTTACCTTTACTGACCTTAATGGAATTTAGCAAATTCTTCTTTAGAAAGCTCTTGTCTGTGCCAAGTATCAGTAACAGAGTAACTGAGAGAACACATTGCCTACTGGTTAAGCCTTATGAATAGAAGCCAGGGCACAGGGGCTTGGTCTTGCATTTTCCTGTGCTGTGACAGCAAGGCAGGCAAGACCTACAAAATGTCCAAGACCCCTGAACTCCAGGAAGATACAGTCATTAGAGACATAGTAATACCTTTGGGCAAAAAGTCCCAGAATTCAGGGGCCGGCCCGGTGGCGCACTGGGTAGTGCGCCGCTTGGGAAGCGCGGCGGCGCTCCCGCCCGAGGGTTCGGATCCCACATACAGACCGGTTCCCGCTCACTGGCTGAGCGAGGCGCGGGAG